CACATTCGGAAGGGTTCGTCCTTTAAGGAACTGTTTGAAGAAGGAAAGAAGATCTCTCCAACACAAGCCACCCCTGCCGAACCACTGCACCTGGGAATGAAGACCAAGATTGGTCCCCATGGTCGCTGTTGGCCCCGTCGCACGTAGCTATCACCGATAATCCAGACACTGTGCACAGCTGAAAGAAAAGCGCACAAATTAACCAGCATAATAAACTTTTATACAGTGCCATGCCTTGCTTTAAAATGGACAGCCAAAACTAACAATCTTAAAGTCTAGGTAGGGCTGGCCCTTGATTTAAACAGCAAATTTCCAAACAACAACTATTAAACACTTTTATTTTGAAATGAGATTGCCAAAACATACATTATTTGGCTAGTAAATACAATTGTTCAGATACAAAACAAAAATAGCAAAATAGGTTGAGCAGAAACATACCTTCCCTTTGAGAAGTTGATTCTCTGCTCGACGGAAAACGAACAGTTGACTTGACTTTGCTAACAAACAAAAGAATGTTTAACAGTTTACAAAAGCTGTAGAATAACTGGTTAAACATGTTCTTTACACATCTACAAGTCTGCACTCATCTGTCTCTGCATTGAAGATATTTGAAACTGTCAGTTAAACGGTGTAATCAAATAAAAATATATATTTAAGAAACTTACTTTATAAAAGAAAAAACACATTGAAATTCTGACTTGTGATGGAGTAGTTAAAATGCTTTATGATTAGACTAATCAAAATGCTTAACTTACCTCATTGTAAATGCAAAGGAGATCAGGGACATCCAAGTAATCCAATCCACGTCACAGGCAAAAGTCAAACACAGTAAGGCAGTCCAAATTATCAGGCAAACAAAATAGGCAAGGGTCAGACGAGAGGGTAATCCAGTGAACAAAGCATACAATCCAAAAAACCAAAAGACAAGAAAAAAAACCGCTCAGAAATGCAGTAAAACTTTATTTTGGGAACACGAAAGAACTATATACAAACATGAAAGCACCATTTTAAAACACTAAAAACCCAGAGCGTTATATAAAAAGACAATCAATATATTTAAAAACACTAAAGCACCATTTAAAACACTAGGAAACCACCTGAGGTTTAAATAAAAACACAAAAGCACTTTAAATAGTGCTTTCGTGTTTAAATAAACACGAAAGCGCCATTTAAAAAAATAAATAAATTACATAACACAAAATCAATATTTAAAAACACGAAAACAGCATTTGCATTTGGAGCATGAGAATCAGCCATCACGGTAATGACGAAAAAAAACACAGGTCTCTTTCGAGGCCCACCCAGTTCTGGGAGCACCAAAGGATTACAGACATGTAGGCAGCAGCGATCCCCTTGGCAGGAGGGACGAAGTCTCTACAATCATCAAATCCTATATCTCTGCTGTTGATTATTGAGCTTAAATGCTACTACCATTTTCTCAGGCACCCTTTCAATGATTGCTTTTTCTAAGAGGCTGCTTGCATGTTGGAATTTGGCCCCTGGATAGCTCTCAATCTGCAATTCTAGAGAGTTGGAGGGTGGAAACCTGGAGAGATTCGAATCCCCAATAATCACGAATTTTTTGTTCAATGTGAGGTTCCAATCATTGGTTTTCTTGTTTGTACAAATGTGCCTCCGTGTGCGACCCACAAAGATGCGTGTTCGTGATGGGGTAATAGTATGTCACCTGTATGGGTGGCAGGGCCGGTGAATTTGTGTTCACCGATGGAGTCGTAAGTCTGGGCACGACTGGAGAGGAATGATCTGGGATGACGGTCTCATGCTCCTCAGGAATGTGCTCTATGATTTCATCTACTCTAACCCATTCTGATCTCTGGCTAAGTGGGTCCAACTCGTGGAGAAAATGAGACAACGGGGAGGACACAGCCATGTGTGGCTCTGAGCTATCTGAAAAAAGTGGCTCACTACCATAAGGAGAGACTGCTGCTTGATAGGGACATGGACCAGAGTCAGCTTCACTCACCGGACCCAGAGGGACCAAAAGGGGAGGCTCAGTCTGGCCTGTGTGACCCGAGTTATTCTCGGGCCCCGCGGCAACAGGAGTTAGAGTCTCCGTGGGTTCCTCTGGGCGGTTCGTGTGTCCTTTTCTGGGGACGTTGCTCTAAGGGACTGCACTCAACGGCCTGTATGGGCTGGAGCATGATATGGGGACCAACAGGAGGATGCTGCTCCTCCTCAAAAGACCAATCCCCCCTGTGTGGAGGAGACGTGGCCGTGGTCTCGAGTCCCTGGAGTAAGCTCGGCGAGGTCTGAATTTCAATAGTTTTATGAGATGCATCCACCGGTGTGATAAGGGGAACAACAGACTCAGTGACCCTAGAGGACGTGGTGTGTGCCACTAATAGAGGGGTGGTGGCAGTGGAAACACTGGTGGTGGTTCGGGATGATGGTTCTCCCTGTGTCACCACCTCTGCATATGTGGGTGCACGTGAGGTCTCTGTAGCTTTACAACCAGAGGAGCCTGGCATTTCAAATTGAATGATCTTTTCTGCTTGCTCAAATGTCTCCTGGCTAATGCATGTTTGATAGTTCTTATGCGCCCAATTAGTAGCAACCTCAAAAGCTTTAGGCCAATCCTGGTGATTTTCAGAGCACGGATTTTACGAGAGAGCTCCTCGATACGTGATTCATAGTGTTCCTCGAGGATGTTCTGTGTGTTGCAGGCCCAACTCCTAGCAAACAAGGGGTATGTTTCTGAGGGACAATGTGGGACACTGCTTGGCCCGGCGGTGCCCCCACCCCACGGGCAGACTCTGATAGTGGTTTACCCATATCTAGAATTGTTACTATTGCCTTACTGTTTGTACATGAAAAATTGTTCAAAAAAAAAAAAAAGCACATACCTTAGCACATACATTAATAATGCCCTATTCCCTAAACATGTGTAATTGCTGATATATACTCATGAATAGGCCAACCAGTGTGTATTTTTTTCGGTAACACTTCATTAGTTAACATTAGTTAACCACATTAGTTAACATGAACTAAGAATGAACAATACTTCTTCAGCATTTATTAATCTTAGTTAATATTAATTCCAACATTTACTAATACATTATTAAAATCAAAGGTTGTATTAGTTAACATTAGTAAATGCACTGTGAACTAACATGAACGCACAATGAACAGCTGTATTTGTATTAAAGGGCACCTATTATGCCCCTTTTTACAAGATGTAATATTGGTCTCTGGTGTCCCTAGAATGTATTTGTGAAGTTTCAGCTCAAAATACCCCACAGTTAATTTATTATAACCATTTGAAAATGTCATTTTGGGGCCTGCTTAAAAATGACCTGTTTCGGAGGTATACGGCTTTAAATGCAAATGAGCTGCATATCCCCGCCCTGCCTTTGGATGAGGGCGTAACTTGATACCTATGGCAGTCGGTAAGCAGAAGGGCTAAGAGAGTGAGAGACGCGCTGTTTTGAATGTCATACAGCGTACGTTTGAATCGGAATATATAATAAATATAGCATGAACACTGACTGAGATGCATTCATTTTAATAAAGTAATCAAAGTTGAAAACTGGTAAACTGCTCCCAGATTTTCACCACTGCAAAATTGTAGGTCAGCTAACCTGATGAGGTCTCATTCACTCTATGAACATGATAAAGCCAGATAAGTGTTGGATTATGAAAGGACACATACTCAGCTTTATTTTGAAGTAAAATACATGTCAACATCTCGTGAATTGGCTGAATATAAGACATTTTGGTGAGAGAAACATGAAATTACCGGCAGAAAATAACATACACTGCACAGTTTGAGGTCGTCTCTTCACTTCTCTGACCAATTAAAGCTTAATGATTATCAGCACTGAGAAGTACAGAACTCACTGTTTAATTTGATGCAAAAAAAGAAAGAAAAAAAAAAGCTTGAGAAAGAAAGAAAGCTTGAGATTTGAGTTAAATACAGACATTTTAGCACAGCAGAGAAAGTGAGGACACACTGCATGTTGTTTGCACACTTTATTAACTTGAAACTGTTTTCACAAGAAAAACACACTCATCACATGGTCAAACACACGTCACACAGTATTAATAATATAAAAGAATTTATATACACTGCATGTTGTTTGCACATTTTATTAACAAATATCCCCGACTAAGCAAGCCAAAAGGCGACAGTGGCAAGGAACCAAAACTCCATCAGATTGGATGGAGAAAAAAACCTTGGGAGAACCCAGGCTCAGTCTAGCTTACATACATATTGTTTCAATAGAAGCTTTACAGTAAGTGTATATAAGGAAAGTTAAAAGGGAAAAAAATACATTTAGATAATCATGTAATATTATGGGCATAACATATCGCCAGCATTGAGTCGTCTCTTCACAGGTGTTGGTCTTCTCATCACAGGCGTTGGGGCATCTGAAGTCTCTGTGAGAGGCTGGATACAAACTGGAGCTGACAAACTCCTATTTTCTCGGGACAAGCGTCCCGAGATAACAGCAGAAAGGCAGAGGGGAAATAATTAGCATAGCTGATGTTCATAATATTAATGCAATATGTGAATGCTTGGTTAAAGAGATGCGTAACTTTATGGAAATTGTTCTCAGGTTCTGGCTCGTTTCCAGAATCCCTCAAGGAGCTCTGAGGAGCCGATGATGGAAGGAGACACTGTCCTGGGATGCCTGGGTAGAGTTGTCAGAGATCCAACCACTCCAGCTCCAGGACGTAGATCAAACTCAATTATTTCATTGGTCACACTGAGGCTCCATTTACATAAAACTACAATGTTTAGACGCTATTGAGGCTCCTTTTACATGAACATCAAGTCCATACGCAAGCTCCCAATTTTTTCTAGACATCTATAGTTCATTCGCGAGCTCACAGTTGACAAATAAAACATTGATAGTTCATACACAGTTCCCAGTCTTGTGTCATAAAATGTAACACAAATGGTCTGTGAGAGTCCAGCAAAATCTAGTCCTTAAAACAGGAATCAAAAGTCCAGCCACTCCAGCCTGATAAAGGCCTTCTCAGCCATCCAGCCAGTCCAGGTGTAGGCCCTCTCCACGGAAGGACTTCCTTTTGACCCCGTAGTCAAACCGTAGTTCAACGCCCACACTGATGTCCTTCAGTGCCCTGAAGAGGATGACGTCCTTGTCCTCCCCATTCACACGTAACCTGCAGTGAAAGGGCTTCAGGTTGGGCGCTTTTGTGGAGTGGTTTATCCTCCTCCCAACGGTGTCTTTGCCAGGGTGGCACTCGCACGGAAAGGTCTGGGCGTCGACGCAGAGATCTCTCTGTCCGGCTTTAAAGAAGAACATGTACCCGGCCTCGTCATGCTGGGCCTGCACCATCGCCCTCCCTTGAGCAGCTGGGATGACCTTGCCGTGGCAGTCGCAAACAATGTCGTTCTTTGAAAAAGTCTGAGTTGCCACGACTCCTAAAATAATGAGAACACATTACATTTTTTAATTAATGAACAAACATTACATGTAGACACACAGTTCAGAATGTAAATGTAGTTCTTGCTGCAGTTATTGGCTGCTAAATTGTACATTTTACATTATTGTTTTTTTCTGCCCTTACAAGACAAATGAAAGGTTTTCTTACCAAAACCACGCTCGTCACCAAAGTCTTTTATGGTCATGCCCGACCAGTTCTGCTCAGACACACAGCGAATGATGAACTTGTCATCTTCAACTGCTGCCTTCGAAGGTGGTGTCCACAGCCGTTCGATGTCCTCCGGCTTGGGACAGTTGACCTTCCATCCCTCCTGTGCAATAAGCCGTGCCACCTTTGCGGCTGAAGGCTTGCGGACTGTGAAATGTGCTGAAAGACAGAATGACGTTACTTTGTTTGTGATGAGTAATGCCATGGTTGGATGAAGAGATGTATACCTGACTAATGATTCCAGCAGCAGAGCTGCGTTGATGACATCCTGCGGCCGGACCGCACCAGTGCTGATGGCCAGGTAATGCTGGAGCGCCTCCTGTTGCTGCGCCGGGAGCTTTTCTGCAGCCTCCTCAACAGCTCTCCGCACACACTGGGCAGAGAAAGGAGCCAGCTTGTACCTGCAGAAACAAAAAGGAAATATTAATTGTGATGTGACTGTGATGAGGCAAGATACAAAGAAGTGTATCCGTTCACACACACACACACACACACACACACACACACATGGACCCGTGTAAGGCACTTACAATTTTGGAGCCGATTCATGTCCCGAGAGACACTTTGAACCTCCACGCCGGATGACGAAACAAAGAAACTATTGCAGAGTTTCTCCGGCTGAATGTTCTCAGGCCTGATTCGTCTGAAGTACAGCTCCAAGCACTACGGAAAAAAGACAGATGAGTTATTCCATTTAAAACAATGGTGGTGAGAAATCAACAGTTTGTACAGTAAAACTTACAGCTTCCTCCTCAGAGCGATCTGCATACTCGAGGTTTTCTCCCTCTGTACGCCGATCACAAATCTGCCACCCAGCTTGGTCTTGTTCACCCACTCGGCATCCTGGAAAATATTGAAAAGGCGTTATTTGAGAAGACCTCTGCAAAAGTCCCCTCGCCAATCTTTAGACAATGGTTCATGCCAGCTGGAGGGACACATTCAAAAAAACGAAGTGGTCCGCTCTGCTGGCATTCCCGATATATTCTATCAGCAATGCTGATATGCTCATCACATGAAGTCTGGAACACAAAGGCAGAGTAAAAAAAAAATAAAAAAATGGGAGAAAAGAGACATCATGGAATAAAGAGACTTATTAATTTTCTGAGAAAGTAACAAAAACAATCATTAAAATGTATATTGTTGTATATATTGTAGACTGTACATTATTCTATTATACTTCTTTCACTTAAAGGATTAGTTCACTTCAAAATGAAAATTCTGTCATCATTTACTCACCCTCAAGTTGTTTCAATCTTATGAATTTCTTTCTTCTGTTGAAAACAAAAGAAGATATTTTGAAGAACGTCGGACTTCCATAGGAAAAAAAAAAATACAATGGAGGTCAATGGGGCCTAGGGCTGTGTATTGGCAAGAATTTGGCGATACGATATGCATCATGGGTCACGATTCAATATATTGCGATATATTTCGATACTGTCCATAAGGCGATATATTGGGATTATTTTTTTTAAGTAGGACTATAATTTTAGAAAAAGCCATAAAAAGAGCCAAAAAGCCATTGGTTAAATGTGTTTTTAGAAGTTGGTTATAAACTTAAAAATAGACAGGGGGGGTGGGGAGGTCGCACACCAGACGAGAAGCGCAGCGCTGCAGCGGCTGCACCACGCAGGATAACTCCAGGTAGGCTATCCCACACCGGACGTGCACTTTCTCATCAGTGTATGGCCAGCAATATTGTTATGTTTAATGACATGAAATGAAGGTAATGTCTGTTCTATGTTATGATTGTACTGTACAATAAAATACAATCGTTGTTTAGTCTGCAGTCTTAACCTCAGAGCATCCGTTCACTGAATGAATTGAGAATCTTAGCTGAAAATCCAATAACATCAGCAATTGTCATTCAAGCAGCTGATTTCTGTAAATGGATGCAAAACTAAATGCATATTGCAGCATAGGGCGAAGTCAGGAGACATTAGCAACGATTTGAGCCAAAAATAATTTAAATTTTATATAAAACTATGTAAATGGCGCTCTGTGGCGCAGCAGGATTTTGAACACGGCCGTGAGCCGTTGCTGGGCGCCGCGGACAGACGCCGAATGGCGCCGCCGGTGTACACTCATAGAGAATAATGTGTTCGAATTTTAAAGATGTGGTGCTGAGCTTCTCGTCTGGTGTGCGACGCCCTTATATACTCTCCGCCGAAACCCCCGTTTCACTGTTGCTCACGCGACGGTCCTGCTCGAGCTTCGACGGGCACGGCTACTGCTTGCGGTGTGAATGAACATTGATTAGCATTGATTAACATGCCGAAAAGAACAGAGCAGGAGCCGGGTCTTGACACTGGGTTCAGCCATAGCCATGTTGTTTCTAGCAAAACGTTAGGCTAGTGGTGCGTCTGGCGCATCTTTTGTGTGCATAGCCACAAAAAAAAAAGATATTGTGTTTCTGAAAATCGATACAGTATTGCACAATAAAATATCGCGATACTCAAGAGTATCAATTTTTTCTTACACCCCTAATGGGGCCCATCAACAGTTTGGTTACCGACATTCTTCAAAATATCTTCTTTTGTGTTCAACAGAAGAAAGAAATTCATAAGATGGAAACAACTTGAGGGTGAGTAAATGACAGAATTTTCATTTTGAAGTGAACTAATCCTTTAACATACACAAGCATGCAGTTACATGAACAAAATCCATTCTGTGTGTGTAAATGTATATACATCACAGACAAACAATTAGAAAAATTAAACAAAGTCTTTTGAACCTTTTTTGCGTATGGAAGCTTGTTTCTGCCACAGAATAAAGAAAAAATTAAAAAGGTAACTGACTTTTTCTCTCACAAATCTGACTTTCTTAGAATTGCAAGATTAAATCTCAAAATTAGGAAGGGGAAAAAAAATCTTCTGACAATACATCAACATTTTCTCATGTTACACACACACAAAAAAAACAATAACAATAATAAATATAGCTGCAAGCAGCCATTACCGGGGCCAAGCGCAAGAAGCGGCAACATATGCCAAAATGGCAAGGAGTCGCAGACCAACTGCAGCAAGGAGCAATTAAGGGCATTTTGAGAGAACTTTGGGCAAATGGCTAAGAAAATCACATAAACATTAACTTATAAGATGATTTAATGGGTTATCACTTTCGAACAATAGGTGGCGCAGTTACGAAATAGATGTGATGTGGTCAGAGTGAGGTGACAATGACACATGCAAAGTTTGATGTCAAAATGTGAAGGCATTGCAGAGATAAAGCCTAAATAGTAATTTTGGCAGCATGCCTAAACTTTGATGCTGTGATATACGAAAACGGTTTTGTCTATCATCGTGCAATTCATAACTTTTAGCCGGCATGGTCTGGAGATGATACGATTCAATTTTCGTGAAAATCGGACAAACGGTCTAGGAGGAGTTCGAAAAAGAAGGTTTTTCAAAGAAATAAAGATGGCGGACAGGAAGTTTTCCTGATTATGCAAAACCTGATATCTATGTTTTCAGCATAACCCAAGGAATCTATTAAGATCAGTTTCATTGCAATAGGCAAATTTATTCAAAAGTTATTAGCGTTCTCAGAAATTAATTATAACTTTTGACCAACAGGTGGCGCTGTCTCAAAATCTTTTGAGTACCTTCAGGGCATGCTGCTTATGGCACACACTGAGTTTTGTAATATTACACCAATGCATTTGTTTAGTATAGCATTGTATTTCACAAAACTCTATTGAAGTCAATGGGAATTTCACGTTTTGTTCTATTATAGCGCCACCAAGAGGCTCAGTCCCACAATTTTTTTTATGTGTCCTCAGAGTGAACCCATACATATGTGTGTCAATTTTGGTGAAAATATCTCAATTCACTTCCGAGTTATAAACATTTATATGAAAAAACACGTAAAAAATGACTGACACATGACTTTGTTTGAATTTTACTACCCCTTACTATCAATATTTTCGCATTTTGGCATTTGAGTGTAGTTAACAAGCTATGATTCCGTGTTTCTGGCGGTGGTTTCGTCTCGATCGGAACAGCGGTTTTGAAGATATCGCCAAGTGTTTTTTTCGCGCTAAATCGCTACGCTACACCAACCGTAACACGAAACCCAGCATGTTTAGTATCGTTGGACTCGGCAACGATTCAGGAACTCAAAAAGATCACTCCCGTGAAAATAAGTGTACCACACCCAAAGTTATAAACGCTTGAAAAAAACAATTCACCACTAGGTGGCGCTGTTTCGAAACTTCTCAGGCTTCTTCAGGGCATCGTACTGATGACCCATACCGAGTTTCGTAACAATTCGTTCATGCGTTCAAAAAATACAGCATTTTAGCACATAATTCAAAATGGCCGACCGCCAAAATGGCCGTTCTGGGAAAATTGGATATCGGTGGACTCGGCATGACGCCCTGAATCTAACGAGACCAAATTTATGATTTTTGGACAAACTGTTCAGAAGTTACGAGAAAAAATAGCCATTTTTCATATCTCCGGACCACTAGGTGCCGCTGCGCCGAAACGCAGCACGTAGCCTCAGGTCATGCTTGTGATGACACGTACCAAGTTTGGTCTGAAAACAAGTAAGCGTTGCGGAGATACAACCTCACGTCTGTTTTCGCAAGCGCTACGTAAATTTTGTTTACGCGTTTATCGAAAACAGTTATTCGAATCATCTTGAATTCCATAACTTTTTGTCAGCACTGCCTGGAGATGATTCGGTGCGATTTTGGTGAAAATCGGACAAACCGTCTAGGACGAGTTCGCAAAAGTACGTTTTTTTGAAAATTCAAAATGGCGGCCGTTTTTTTATGACGGAAAATGACGTCATAGGGTGCGATCGAATCGGCATGAGCTCAGGAACAAGAGGAAAAAAGAATTTTGTTGATAGGCCTTACGGTTCAAAAGTTATTAGCATAATAAAAGTGAAACTTTGGACAGTTGGTGGCGCTAGAGGGAATGCGTTAGAGACACCAAAATTGGTGTAATTAAAGTTGGGACTGTCCTCTATCAG